TAAAGCCGCCCAGCAATATAGCTATAGCCCATAGCAATTCATGATTGCTGTGAAAATCCGTTTCTCCTTGCGTGCTTTAGGGATTGCAATCAAACTCAGGAGGGGTGGAGGGTGTACGTGTATGTCTGCATGCATCTGCTGATGTCATCATAGTTTCTGGAAATTAAAAAAATTATCTTGGGGATTCCCCCTTGATCCCTGGCTCCACTAGATGCTCCACCTGCTTGCAATCTGTACTCATGATGTCTTTGTTCCTTTGGGATTTCTCCCCATCAGGAAATTTTATAGTCACTCTATCCCTACTCTGCTGCAGTAACTGAGAAATAGGAATGCACTATGTATCTGAAGTAGAGATGTTATTTAAATCATTTCTCCTTCCATTATTGGCTAACTGTAGGAATAAAGGAAGATGAACCACTGTAGAAATAATAATAATAATAATAATTTTATTTATATACTGCTCTATTTCCCCGAGGGGGACTCAGGGCGGTTTCTAAGCAACATCACCAAAATACAGATTAAACAGCATAACATAAAATTAACAAAACAACATAAGCATAAAATTATCACAATAACACATATATATTAAAAAGATTCCTGCCTGTTCAGAGCAATTAAATGGCCGGGCCTATGAGGCCTATCTTATGAAGCTGGAGTTTCCTCTGTTCTATTCACAGCCCTCTTTGAAGCCAACAGACATCCAAGCCCAGATCCTAGAAAGTTGGATAAACTATTCTAGGGAACATTGCCTTCCTTTTAGAGGTGTAAATCAGGTGGCAGACTACTCAGATAGCTCTTCTTGTTCTTGTTCCCGCTCCCTTTCGGGGAAGTCTATAAATCATATCTAATAAAGTAGTGTACAGATGAGTTGGGAAAGATCCAGAAAATTATCACTTGGAATTCATGCATGTAATAACACTGTTGATTTTAGGCAGCATTGTTCCCCGCCATGTCTATCATGATTTGAGTTTGACATTTGAAGTGTTTAAGCTGTACAATGTCACGGAACGTAACACAGTAGTATGTGTTTCATTCAATTCTTTCAATACATATACACCATCCAAAATCACATGAGTTACCCAACTGGCGCTAGCTTTGCAATTGAACTTTCTGTGAGAAGAAATTTATATGTAGCATGTTGTAAAAATGAAACAGACTGCATTAAGACATGATCTACACATTTGTGTTATTTTATGTAGAACTTGGGACAGTTACTTTTTATACTCTGTAAGATCTAAGTGATTCACCAATATTTCTTGGCCAACATACAAAAGCATGGAGCCCCTGGTGGTGCAGCGGGTTAAACCACTGAGCTGCTGAACTTGCTGACCGAAAGGTCGGCAGCTCAAATCCGGGGAGCAGGGTGAACTCTCACTGTTAGCTCCAGCTTCTACCAACCTAGTAGTTTGAAAACATGCAAATGTGAGTAGATCAATAGGTACCACTTCAGCGGGAAGGTAACAGTGCTCCATGCACTCATGCTGGCCGCATGACCTTGGAGGTGTCTTCGGACAATGCCAGGACCTATTGGGAGAGGTCATCTTATTGGAACCACTCCTGTTAAAGGGGAGGACCTTAGAATCTACCACTTAATATAGTTTGTCCAGCAGTTTGTATAATAGGGCTACCCTAATCTACTACTAGGTGAAAGTTTTGTTTTTTAAAAATTATGTATTTCAAAATTGAAAGGCTCTGAAAAATACCTTACAATTATTACATTTATTTTTCTCTTACTTTTCTCCCATGGGTGGTTCTCAAAGCGGCAAAAAATTGTTAAAACAGAAATTACATGACACAAAAGCAAAATAAAACTAATAAACAAATAACACAATTACATAAACCATATACAACAACGTTAATAAATACAACCGACTCCACTGAAATTTCCTGGGCCACAAGCCACTGAGGTTGTACATAAAAAAAATTATACTGAAAATCATAAAGCTCAGCTTCTTTAGGCTGTGTAAACGTTGTCAAGTCCGAGATAGCCTTCATTGATATGCCTTACCCGTAGCAGCCTGGCCATTTCCTATTATGGGCTTTCAGGACACAGGAGGATTTTGACCTGTGCACAAAAGGCCAGTAGAGAGGGGGCCAATCACACCTCTTTGAGGAGGGAGTTCCAGAGCCCCAGGGCCACCACCGAAAAGGCCCCCTCTCGTTCCCACCAACTGTACTTATGATGGCGGTGGGACTGAGAAAAAGGGCCTTGTTTGGGTTCATTAGAGGAGATGCAGTCCCTCAAGTAGGCTGGCCCTGAAGCATTTAGGGCTTTATAGGCTAAAGCCAGCACCTTGAATTGTGCTGGGAAACAAACAAAGAGTCAGTGTAGCTGCTTCAGAAGCGGGGTAGTTCTTTCCATATATCCTGCTCCTGTAAGCAGTCTAGCCGCTGACCTTTGAACCAGTTTAAGTTGCCAATTATGCAATGCTGGATATAAAATGTAGGTTGTATTTTTATCTTAAGCGTAGACTGAGAAATACATAGTTTATGTACAATGCATAACCATCTAGGTTCATTGTGATACTTGCTGGTTCATTCTAACCTACAGAGATGATAGTTGCTCTAAAATTTAAGAATTTAAATCCAGGACTGTCACTGTAAGATATTTACACTTGTTAGGGTTGTATGTCAGTATATCTGTGCTGTTTAAAAATAGCCCTAAGGACTGGCTGACCCATTTGATCTCTAAACCTGTTTGGCAATGCTCTCATATTTTGGATTGCTCAAACCTGCTGTGCCTGATTTGGAAGCAGGGCAATGGCCTGGTTGTAGAACTTGTGACATCTGAACCCAGTAAGGGTGTCTGATGTCAATCCAGGAAGATTAGAAATGCAGAAGACAGTCCAAGTATCTGGCAGTGTTACTTTTCTGTATCCTCGTTTGATAAAGCTTTTATAAGTGATAATGTTGAATCTAAGCCTCCGTAACTCTGTACTATCATCAGATAGATTTTTAACATATTTGGCATAGACAATGAAACCCAAGAGGGAAAAAAATGAAATTCAGTCACAACAAATTAAGTATCAGAATAGGAGACAAGAACGGAGAGAATAAAATATCCTCTTGCCAGTTCAATGTGCCATATATTAAGAGAGAATAGCAAATATTTTTTGGTTACAACAAGGTTCCCAAAACAATAGCTAAGGATACAATTTGTTGTGGTCAGAGTTCATGGAGAATGTTCATAGTCAGAATTAATGTTACTTAGGGACTCAAACTAGATGAAATGTCAATAACTCAGGCATATAATAATAATAATAATAATAATAATAATAATAATAATAATACCTTATTTATAGACTACCTTCTCTCCTCAAGGGGACTCGGGGTGGTTTACACACACAAAAGGCAAACGTTCGATGCCCAAACTCAAATATAAACTTTTTAAAATAAACAGAATAATACAAAAATAATAATCATAAACTTGTGACAAAAGAGAAAGTAACACCAAAATGAGGACCAAATACGGATAATCGAATAAACCTAATTATACTAATAACATGAATTAACCATTGAAACATAAAGCCTAGAAAAGGCAATTAAAATACATTAAAATGACTTATCAAAGTTGTTCTTCTCATGTACCATAGCAGCAGTGGAATACAAATAGTTTAGCTAGCATTCCAGTGGAAATGCCCTAATGCTTTATCTCACCCTACATCAAAGTGCACAAGTGTGTTTTCAAGAACTTTTTATAAGACAGGAGGGTGGGTGCGGTTTTTATTTCTTTGGGGAGGCAGCGATCACAGAGAAGCCCCCCTCTCTCGTTCCCACCAACCACACCAACCACACGGGGGTGGGACTGAGAGGAGGGCCTCCTCTGTTGACTGCAGTGCGCGAGATGGTCTTTATAGGGAGATGCAATAGGACAAATAGCCTGGACCCAAACCGTTTTAAGGCTTTATAGGTAACAACCAGCATTTTGTATTTGGCATGGGAATTGTCCTCTCATGGTACTTCACTCAGGTTAGCAATTTGGCTGCCGATCTCTGCACCAATTGTAGCTTCCAAACTGTTTTCAAAGGCAGCCCCACATGGAGAGCATTGCAGTGGTCCAAAAGGGATGTGACCATGTGACTACCATGGCCAAGTCAGATTTCTCAAAGTACAGTTGGCGCACTAGTTTTAATTGTGCGAAGGTGCTCCTGGCCACTTCCAATACCTGGGGTTCCAGAGTCAAAGAAGAATTGAGGATCACCCCCAGACTGCGGACCTGTCTTAAGGGTGAGTGTGACCCTATCCAACACAGGTTGAAATCTCACACCCTGATCCACCTTATGACTGACCATGAGTACCTCTGTCTTGTTTGGATTTAGTTTCAGCTTGTTGGCCCTCATTACTGGTAGTCTGCTAAGAATTGTGGAAGTTGAAGTCCATAACACCTGGAGGGCCAGTTTGCCCATGCCTGCTGATAACTAGTACTGTCTAAAATAGGCCCTTGGCATCCACTGGAGGTTGAATCCAGGGCCCCACCCCACTTAACCAAAATCCATAAATGTTCAAGTCCCCTTATAAACAATGATATTATTTTATTAAAAGACAAAACCAAGGCTTGTTTTGTGGATTTTTTGGGAGAGTATTTCAAGCCCTTGGTGGTTGAATCCACAGGTACATAATTATTGTATACAGAAGCTTGATGTTCACTATCTTCAGATCTTGCAATGGCCTTTAATGGAGCCCTCGGTGGCGCAGTGGGTTAAACCCTTGGGCTGGCAGTACTGAAGACAGATAGGGTGGATGTTCAAATCCAGGGAAAGTGTGGATAAGCTCCTTCTGTCAACTCCAGCTCCTCATGCGGGGATATGAGAGAAGCCTCCCACAAGGATGGTAAGACATCAATACATCCAGGCGTCCCCTGGGCAACGTCGTTGTCGATGGCCAATTCTCTCACACCAGAAGCGACTTGCAGTTTCTCAAGTCGCTCCTGACATGAAAAAACAAAACTGGCCCTTAATGTCATTTTCCATTTAAATTATTAACAAAGGAGAAGCGGTACATTCTTAAGAAACTGATTTTTATTGTAAACAAGGTATAAAGTACTTTGTAAGAAACATTGTGCAAATTTTAAAGTAGTCACAAAATTGATATTACATCATTCTCCAGCAGCTGAGGGGGAAAAGGAAAGGGCCTGAGGCTGTTAGGAATTGTGGGAATTGAAGTCCAAAACACCAGGAGGGCCAAAGTTTGCTCGTGCCTGCTTTAAACTATACCTTCAAAATATAAAAGACAGTAAAATGTCGGAAAGTAGCATTAGCATGTCACTCTTGTCCTTCCTTCCTTCAAAGAGAAACAAAAGCTTCATAGTTACCTTTTAAGATTATAGCTAAAACAAAGTGCACTGTATCAAGGTTTTGAAAATGCAGTGGAAAGCATACATGTAACCACAAGCAGAAATATCAAAAGATGGGCATGTACTACTAATGATACTAATCATGTTTTCAAAAAGAATAGTAAAAATACTATTAGACTTCCATGTTAGAATAATCCAACCATATCGTAACTTAATTACATGTTTGACAACTGTTCAGAAATGCTATAATTAGTTACACTTGATATATTATGGTATGGAGATAAACAGACTATTCTCAAGTCTCTTGGTGACTCGATTTCCACTATCGGTCACAACTGAAGAGAATAAAACTGAATTTATCTGCTTCCAAGGAATTTACAGCATTTCAGTATAAACTGAATGTTACCCCCGATTCTGTACCAGAAACTGACATTTCCTCCTGTGCTTTGCTAACAATTTCTTGTGAAATACCTGCACTCATCTCTAGTTTGCACCAAGCTGATCTACAGTGTGTATGAAGTTGACACACGTTTCAAGCCCCATTCTTGCATTGGTATTGACACTTCGGTTGCTCCTTCCTCCAAGTGAAAGAGAAATCCCTTGTCTCTTAGGTCACTGGCACGCAGAAAACACACAACCATTTCTTCTGTATGAGCCTGAAATGGGAACCAGGCCTGCAAGTTGTTTGCTTCTGTAACCACAGTGACAATACCCAGTTAATAGCGTCTTCGGATGGTTATACCTCACTGTGGTGGAGCTGAAGTATGGGATACAACAATATCATTTAGCTTGCTCACTTCCATCTGCCAGTTTGGCAACTTCTTGGCTGACAAGTGGCGACGTGCGTGTTTGGTTAGGTGGTCACTTCTCATGAATCGCCGATTACATATTGGGCAGGCAAATTTCTTCTCCCCTGTGTGTGTTCTACGGTGGCGAGAGAGTTCATCGGAACGTGCAAATCTCCTCTCACAGCCTTTCCAACTACAGCTGAATGGCTTCTCTCCTGAAATACAGAATATAAGAATCACAACCATGAGTGTTTTTTTCCCCCAAAAGCAGATCATACAGATTCTTCCTGTAACTATTTACAAATAAGTAAACCAAACAAAAAGAAAATATTATCTGCAGTGTTGATGTAGTTAAGCTTAGAGAAACACTGTGCTTAGGATGCTACACAGTCCAAGAGGAAATATAGCTGCTTTCCAAAAGCAAAATACAAGTCTTAGGATCACACTGACTTGCAAACTCCTAGAACATACATAGATTATTCCGAAAAAGTGATTAGATAACTATTGTCGAAGGCTTTCATGGCCAGAATCACTGGATTGCTGTGAGTTTTCTGGGCTGTATGGCCATGTTCCAGAAGCATTGTCTCCTGACATTTCACCCCACCTATGGCAGGCATCCTCAGAGGCATCCTCAGAACCTCTGAGGATGCCTACCATAGGTGAGGGTGAAACATTAGGAGAGAATACTTCTGCAACATGGCCATACAGCCTGCAAAATTCACAGCAACCCAAGTAGATAACTGCTTTTAAAATCAGAAAAAGATATATTCATACCAAATTTTATATTATGTAACCAATGGGATATTAGACTAAAGTAGCTGAACATTCCCAATGCAAAATTGATTAAATATGACATGCCTTCATATGACAAGCTATCTCTACAGACAAGGAATGCAGCAGTGCCTTGGTGACTTCACATATATATCATAGCTATGGGTATGCATGTTCTGTTTTCCCCCCTTTAAAATTGTATAGTTTCCCTACTCCTCTCCTTTCTGGTATGCATATGGCCTGCAAGCTACACTTTTTATGCCCCTGGTGTAGATATATGACTGTTAGATTCACAAGTCATTTTGGAATAGCAAAATAATAATGGAAAAAATACATGGGAGTTTTCTGCAATGGAAAAGGCAGTAGTTTCCTTTAGGCAGCAATCCTATACAAATTTACCATAGAATAATCCTCTCTGAATTTAATGGGCCATATATTTATAAATGGGCCCCCCCTGGTGGCACAACTGGTTAAATCGCTGAGCTGCTGAACTTGAGGTTGGCGGTTCAGATCTGGGGAGTGGGGTGAGCTCCTGCTGTTAGGCCCAGCTTCTGCCAACCTAGCAGTTTGAAAACATGCAAATGTGAGTAGATCAATAGGTACCACCCCGGCAGGAACGGCACTCCATGCTGTCATGCAGGCCACATGACCTTGGAGGCATCTACAGACAACACCGGCTCTTCGGCTTAGAAATTGAGATTTTTTTTGTCGTGTCAGGAGCGACCTGAGAAACTGCAAGTCACTCCTGGTGTGAGAGAATTGGCCATCTGCAAGGATGTTGCCCAGGGGACGCCCAGATGATTTGATGTTTTATCATCCTTGTGGGAGGCTTCTCTCATGTCCCTGCATGAGGAGCTGGAGCTGATAGAGGGAGCTCATCCACCACCCTCCAGAGATGGACTCGACTAGAGGGGAAACCTTTAACTTTACTTATATTTACAAATATGTACAGGATTTCACTGCTGCTAAATTTTTTCTATTCCGAAAGAAATAACAAGGAATGCTGAGAGAGAAAAAATCAAGATACTTCTGATATGTTTTTTTCCAGTTCTAAATGCTGTTAAGTAAAGGAGGAATTTTATCACATGAACAACAACGCATGTACGTAACATACACACTCCTCAATTTCAAATTTCTCATATTTAGTGATTTCAGAATCATTTACCTGTGTGAGTTCTAACATGAGCTTTCAGGTGGGAACTCTTGAAATATGTTTTTCCACATCCTGGATGGTTGCAAACATGACTTCTTATCCTTAAGGAGTCAGCGGATGGAGTGATTTTTGTTGCAACAGGGATTAAACCTGGGGCTGGGGCAATAGGTGAGAGTCTGGTGCCGTTAGGGCTGATTACTGGTGCCTTTGGATTCTGAATAACAGTCTGTGGCACCACAAACATGACAGCTCCCTTGGGTACTTGGGTTCCCATGAAGACCATCGGCTGACAAAGGTTTGGTGTCAATGGACTGCAAGGAGTGTTGGGCACTATTGTTGTCACAACGGAGTTGTTAGCAGAGAGCGGAACCATCTGGCACACCAGAGGCACAGAAGGGAGTGTCCCTGCATGCAGAGGAGGAGAGGGAGTGACCAGTGCTGGTTGCTGTACTGACCCAAGGACAGGGACAGGGCTGACAGATACAGTCTGGATGAAAGGCACTGGACTATTAGGCAGCACTGGACATTGTTTCTCCTGCAACTCTGGTGCTGAATGCAGTTCTGTTTGATTTGCCTCAGTCTTGATATCATCTTGAAGCTTCAAAACACTCATAGTTCTTGCCGGACAAGTTATGCGATTGCAAAGCTGAGCGTCCGCAGTATGGCGAATGACACTTGTTGCCTGAGATCTCAGTATTCTTGGTGCTGGAACCTTGTCGTTCCAGCACTTGCTTTGTACAGCAGATGGTGCTGGTGTTGCTGGTTGGATTGCCTGAGACATGTCAAGATCGGAAGGACTGTAGGGTGGAGTTAGGCACTAAAAAAAGGACAACAAAAACAAGGTGCATTAAGCAATCTGTACAATATAGCTACTTGGATTCTAGAATTAAGTTGAACTTCCTTCTAAACCAGCCATGGGCAAACTTCGGCCCTCCAGGTGTTTTGGACTTCAACTCTCACAATTCCTAACAGCCGGTAGACTGTTAGGAATTGTGGGAGTTGTAGTAAGCAATATGTACAACATAGCTACTTGGATTCTAGAATTGAGTTGAATTTTCTTCTAAACCAGCCATGGGCAAACTTCAGCCCTCCAGGTGTTTTGGACTTCAATTGTGGGAGTTGTAGTCCAAAACACCTGGAGGGCTGAAGTTTGCCCATACCTATTCTAAACAAACAAATGATACATAGAATACACTTACAAAGGCTGATATTGTAGGAATGTCAGTAGGAGGTAGCAGATTGTCCTCAAGTTCTTCAGATGTATCTGATGCTGGCGTTATCGGTCTCAGTTCAACATACTTCTTGGCATCTGACTTCCAGCTACAACTCATGAACATCAGAGCTTCTACCGCGTCAAAATCACTCTTCTCAGTGGTATTCCAATAATACTTCTGATTGTTCTGCCTTTTGGTAATCATCTCCATACTTTCCTCCTATGAGAAAAAAAGAGTTGTTTTTAATAGAAAGCAACCAATATCTGTAGGATTGATTTGCACGCCCTATCCCCTCCAAAAATTTCCATCCCAGTTATATCCTACCTTGCTCATGCCCAGCATTATTTTTAAAATTTTAATTTTACATTTGGCCCAGCCATAGGTTTTAAATGTTTGTTGTGTTACTGTACTGCTTATATTTTATTTTATTTTTGTTTATGAGATGTATTTTAACTGATTTGTATTGTTTGTTTGCTATTGTTTTATTATTGATGTGTTGTGGGCTCGGCCTCATGTAAGCCGCACCGAGTCCCCTGGGGAGATGATAGCGGGGTATAAATAAAGTTTATTATTATTATTATATTATTAAAATATTTAAACACACTTAAAATTATTGCACAGTAGTGGGGGGGAGAGATATTATTTATTTATCATGTCAGAAGCAGTACAGTTATTATGTATTTAAAAAGAAACAAACAAAGTTAAAAAAAATAGCATTATGCTGAATTTCCTTTGACCAGAAGCTGGCCACTTGGGAGTGCCTCTGGTGTCACTGTAAGAAGGTCCTCCACTGTGCATGTGGCAGGACTCAGACTGCATTGTAGTAAGTGGTCTGTGGTTTGCTCTTCTCCACACTCGCATGTCGTGGACTCTGCTTGGTGGCCCCATTTCTTAAGGTTGGCTCTGCATCTTGTGGTGCTAGAGCAGAGTCTGTTCAGCGCCTTCCAAGTCACCCAGTCTTCTGTGTGCCCAGGGGGAGATTCTCATCTGGTATCAGTCATGGACTGAGATTCCTGGTTTTAGCCTGCCACTTTTGGACTCTTACTTGTTGAAATGCAAAGATACAGAATTGGGGGGGGGGGCACATGGCTCGAGAGCAGTACGTGTGAGAAAGATTTTGGAGTCCTCGTGGACAACAAGTTAAACGTGAGCCAACAATGTGATGCGGCGGCAAAAAAAGCCAATGGGATGGCGCAATGGCCATCTGTCGGGGGTGCATTGAATGCAATTTTCCTGCTTCTTGGCAGGGGATTGGACTGGATGGCTCATGAGGTCTCTTCCAACTCTATGATTCTATGAGGTGTTTCTATGAGTATCTCTGTAGATCTTAGAAAGCTATTTGTTGATTTAAAGCATTGGTTTGCTGGCTGATATCCGATCAGAGGATGGGCCGAAGGTGTCAATCCCTTGGTCCTTTCACTACAGGCTGCTATTTCCCAACAGACGTCAGGTGGTGCAACTCCAATGCATTACTTTTTCCTAGTGTGGATACCATGAAACAGGGAGCTATGGCATGGGCTGGTCTATGGGGTCACAAAGCGTCAGAAGCAACTAAACGAATAAACAACAAATACGGTTCATGTAATGTGCTATTTGTTTATCTGTTTATTTGGCTTATGATATTGTGCTTTCTTGTGTCATGTTTGTAATTATTCGTTCAGTCGCTTCCGACTCTTTCTGACCTCATGGACCAGCCAACACCAGAGCTCCCTGTCAGCCGTCACCACCCACAGCTCCTTCAGAGTCAAGCCAGTCACTTATAAACACACACACCCCAAAAATCAGCAGAAAGGCTTTAAAAACTCAAAAAGCTAAATGATGAAAAGTTAAATGATATAGAAAAAAGGGAAGAGGGAGGGAAGGAAAGAGGAAGCAAAGAGAGAAGGAGAAAGAAAAGAGGTAGAGAAGGAAGGAAAGGAAGAAGGAGGAAAAAAGGAGGAAAAAAAGAGGGAGGGAAGAAGGAAGAAGAAAGAAGAGGAAGCAAAGAAGGAAGGAAGGAAGGAGAGAAAGGAAAGAGAGAAGGAAAGGAAAGAGGACAGAAGGAAGAAAAGGAGAGAAAGAGAAAAGGGGGGGGGGAGGAAGGAAAAGGTAGGAAGGAAGGAAGGAAGGAAAGGAAAGAAAGAAGGAGGGAAGGAAAAGAGAAGGAGGGGGAAGAAAGGAAGAAAGGAAGAAAGGAGAGGAAGAGGGAGGGAAGAAAGAGAGAAGGAAGAAAGGATGGAAAGAGAAAGGGGAAGGAAAGAGGAGAGAAGGAAGGAAGGAGGGAAGGAAAAGGGAGGAAGAAGGAGGGAAAGGAGAGAAAGAGGGAGGGAAGGAAAGAGAGAAGGAAAGAAGGAGGAAAGAGGAGAGAAGGAAGGAGGAAAAAGAGGAAGGAAAAAAAGGGGGAAAGAAAGAGGTAGAGAAGGAAGGAGAGAAGGAAGGAAAGAGGGAGTGAAGGAAAAAGAGAAAGGAGTATGAGGGAGTGAAGGAAAGAAGGAAAGAGAGAAGGGTGGAAGCAAAAAAGCAAAGGAAGGAGAGAAAGAGGGAGCGAAGGAAAGAGAAGGAAAGAAGTAGAGAAGGAAGGAAAGAATGAAAGAAAAGACAAGAAAGGAAGAGAAAGAGGGAGGGAAGGTTGGCCACAGCAACACATGGCAGGTACAGCTAGTAAATAAATAAAAACCCAGGTGAAAAAGTAGAACAATAATAATAATAAATTATGTAACAGGAAAGTTAACTATTCCAAATTTTGTTGCATCAATAATCCTGCTTCTGGTGTAAACTCTTAGCTCAAGCAAAATTGCTGTGTTATTATTATTACTAGTACTAAAGTCCACGTTTTGCTGCATCCATTGTTTTCCTTCTGGTGCAAACTGTTTCAGCTCAAGCACAATTGCTGTGTCATATTTATTACTGTTGTTGTTATTATTACTAATGGATCACTTTTGGTCCCAAGCCAATAATGGCTTATGTAATAGCAAAATCCACGTTTTGCTACATCCATTGTCTTCCTTCTGGTGCAAACCGTTTCAGCTCAAGCACAATTGCTGCTGTGCTGTCACATATTACTATTGCTAGAGAAGTCTGTTCCCATCTGAATCTCCAAGAGGAGCTCGGCTGCGAGGGAAAGGCAAGGCAGACAGCCACGGCGCCTCCCTGGCTCCCAGCCAATCGGGTTTCAAGACTGGCCGGGCGGGAAGGGAGAGAGAGGGAGCGCGCGCGAGCGGGCTTGGCCGCGCGCCCCGCTCACCTCAGGCGGCCCCTGCAGTGACTCACCCCGCGCCTTCCCAACAGCACGCGCCCTCTTCCGCGAGGACGGCCCCCGCCCTTCGCCCATTGGCTGCCAAGGTCAGGCACGGCAGGAGCTGATTGGCTGCCGCTGCCGCCTGGGGAAGGGGGAAGAGTAGGCGGGAGGGCGGGGCATGTGAAGGAAGCGTGATCAGCGGCTGCTCTGCTCCCCGGCGCTCGCGACCTTCCACCTACTTTCCTCCGAGAGCGGCTCGCGCCCTCACGTCCCCCCGCGAAGCCCCGCCCACTTCCCCTGCCAATTTGCATGAAGGTTGGGATTATACAAACAGCAGCCACAGAGGATGGAAGAAGGCACTGAGCCCCAGGCCTGCGCTACATACAATAGATACAATATAATCTACACAATATAATAAATACATATACATATATAAATACATGTATAATAAATACATATAAAGACTATACTGAAATAATAACATTGCCATGTAATTATACTAATAGATTATATATAATATTCATGTTGTAATACTATATATATATATATATATATATATATATATATATATATATAATAAAATTTGGTCATGTCAGGAGTGACTTGAGAAACTGCAAGTCACTTCTGGTGTGAGAGAATTGGCCATCTGCAAGGACGTTGCCCAGGGGATGCCCGGATGATTTGATGTTTTTATCATCCTTGTGGGAGGCTTCTCTCATGTCCCCGCATGAGGAGCTGGAGCTGATAGAGGGAGCTCATCCGCCTCTCCCCGGATTCGAACCTGCGACCTGTCGGTCTTCAGTCCTGCCAGCACAGGGGTTTAACCCACTGCACCACCGGGGACTCCATATAATAATATATTATAATATGATGTAAAATATATATTATAAACTAGCCGTCCCCTACTATGCATTCCTGTGGCCCAGTCTGTGTATATGTGCTTTGTGTGTGTGTGTATATATTTGTGTATATGTGTGTGTTTGCGCATGGGTTGTAAAGTATTTATTTTTGTCTTTTTAAGTCTCTTCTGCTGTGTTTTTCAGTGTTTTTATGAGTGATGGTCACTCGTTGGCCTGACAGGCGTCTTGTGTCCAAATTTGGTGTCAATTTGCCCAGTAGTTTTTGAGTTATGTTAATCTCACAAACGAACATTACATTTTTATTTATATGGATAATTATATTATTATCATATCATATATTAATATATATAAACATATAATATATATTATATATTTTATTACATTAATATTATATATAATCTATTAGTTTATTACACGACAATGTTATCATAACATTGTCATGATAACATTATGACATTATGATAACATTGTCATGTAATAATACTAATAGATTATATACAATATTAATGTTATAATATATATAATATAATATATTATATTATATCATATAGTATTAATATATATAAACATATATATTATATATTATATTACAACATTAAAATATATAATCTATTAGTATTATTACATTATCAATTACTATAATATATATTATGATATATATATATATATATATATATATATATATATATATATACACTACAACTTATGATATAGTACAATTTGTGGTATAATACCATATAGTAATATATAATGCTAATATTGTGCTATGCTAATAATGTTAAATATTGTATTGTGTGTGTGTGTGTGTGGTAAGTCCATATATGGTATATATTAGTATTATTATATTATTGAAAATACAGACTGGATGGCCATCTGTTCAGAGTGCTTTGATTGTGTTTTTTACAATATTATTATATATTATTATATTGTATTATGATGTAGTCTTGGAGGGTAAAAACACAGACTGGATGGCCATCTGCTCAGAGTGCTTTGATTGTGTTTTTTACAATATTATTTTATATTATTATATTGTATTATGATGTAGTCTTAGAGGGTTTGAAAACACAGACTGGATGGCCATCTGCTTAGAGCGCTTTGATTGTGTTTTTTACAATATTATTATATATTATTATATTGTATAAATACGTAGTCTTGGAGGGTTTGAAAACACAGATTGGATGGCGATCTGTTCAGAGTGTTTTGATTGTGTTTTTTACAATATTATTATTATAATATCGTATTAAGATGTACTCTTGGAGGGTTTGAAAACACAGACTGGAAACACATCTATTCAGAGTGCTTTGATTGTGTTTTTTACATTATTATTATTATTATTTTTAATATACATGTGTTATTGTGATAATTTTATGCTTATGTTGTTCTGTTAATTTTATGTTATGCTGTTTACTTTGTATGTTTCAGTGATGTACTTGGAAACCACTTGAGAGATAGGGTGGTATATACATAAAGTTTTATTATTATTATTATTATATACTGTTTATTTGTTATTATTATTATTATACTAGCCGTCTCCTGCCCAATCTGTGTATATGTGTTTTGTGTATGTATGTATTTGTATGTGAATATATGTGGTTTTGTGTATGCATTGTAATGTTATTTTTTTGCTTTTTAAGTATCTTCTGTTGTGTTTTTCAGTGTTTTTATGAGTGAGGGTCACTCGTTGGCCTGATAGGTGTCTTGTGTCCAAATTTGGTGTCAATTCGCCCAGTAGTTTTTGAGTTATGTTAATCCCACAAATTAAGATTACATTTTTATTTATATAGATTACTAGCCATCCCCTGCCATGGGTTGCTGTGGCTCAGTCTGTGTTTTGTGTGTGTGTGTGTTTATGTGTGTGTATATATTTGTGTATATGTGTATATATGTGTGTTTGCAAATATAGATAGATAAGTATAGATAGATAGATGGGTGTATATGTGTGTGCATATGTGTGTCTATATTTGTGTATTTCTATGTTTATATGTGTATATGTATATGTGTGTATGTGTGCATAGGTATATGTAAATATGTATGTGTGAATGTGTATATTTGTGTTTCTGTATATATATGTATGTGTGCATGTGTATATGTGTATGAGTGTATATGAATATATAGTTTATTTGGGGGAGGGGGGGTTAAGTCCATTCTGCTGGTTTTTTTGTGTGTGTTTTAGGGGTGATGGACACTCATTGGCCTGATAGGTGTATTGTATCCAAATTTGGTGTCAATTCGTCCAGTGGTTTTTGAATTATGTTAATGCCGCAAACAAACATTACATTTTTATTTATATAGATTATTATTATTATTATTTTATTAAGATGTAGCCTTGGAGGATTTGGAAACACAGACTGGATGGCCATCTATTCAAACTACAAGAAAGGAGATTCCATTTGAACATCAGGAAGAACTTCCTGATTGTGAGAGCCGTTCAGCAGTGGAACTCTCTGCCCCGGAGAGTGGTGGAGGCTCCTTCTTTGGAAGCTTTTAAACAGAGGTTGGATAGCCATCTGTCAGGGGTGATTTGAATGCAATATTCCCGCTTCTACATTTTTATTTATATAGATGGTCACTCGTTGGCCTGATAGGTGTATTGTGTCCAAATTTGGTGTCAATTCGCCCAGTGGTTTTTGAGTTATGTTAATCCCACAAACATTTTTATTTATATAGATAATAATAATAATAATAATAATAATAATAATACTTATTTATACCCTGCCACCATCTCCCCAAGGGACTTGGAGCGGCTTATGAGGCCATAGCCCAACAACCCATCTATAAAACAAAAAAGCAATAAACAAAACAATACAATGCAATACATATTAATATAAATCACATATAACAGTAACGCAAAAGGATTTAAAAACCTATATTAAGTGTAGTCTTGAAGGGTTTGAAAAAACACAGACTGGATGGCCATCTGTTGAGAGTGCTTGGGCTGTATTCCCATGAAGGGCAGACAGCGGATTGGACATATTATTATTATTATTATTATAGTGTATTAAGATGTAGCCTTGAAGGGTTTGAAAAAACACAGTCTGGATGGCCATCTGTTGAGAGTGCTTGGGCTGTATTCCCATGAAGGGCAGACAGCGGATTGGACATTATTATTATTATTATTATTATTATTATTATTATTATTATAGTGTATTAAGATGTAGTCTTGGAGTGTTTGAAAAAACACAGACTGGATGGCCATCTGTTGAGAATGCTTGGGTTGTGTTCCCATGCACGGCAGACAGGGGATTGGACAGGGCTGTTGGGTCCCGCCCTCCACTGAGCGCCAATCAAGACCCCCTCCACACCTTAGGCCACGCCCTCTTCTCAATCCCAAACGCGCGCGGCTTCTTAGGCCACGCCTCCTCCTGGGAACTAGGCCACGCCCCCTCCCGGACAACAACTGCTTCCCAAGCCCCGCCCCCGCCTCGCCCAACCTCAACCGATACCCCTTATAATAGACGCGTCCAGTCTCTATAAATGTGTGTTCATTGCAAACTTATTTTGCATGCAAGGAAGGCTTTCTTCTAGGACTCTCATACTCAGAATCATTACTTTTCCTTCTAAGCTAGGCAAGGGCTAACTTGGGCTCCTGCTTAGGTGTTTTGGACTCCCACTCCCACCATTGCGCACAGCCTCAGGACCCTTCCTTTTCCCCCTCAGCCGCTTAAGGGTCCTGAGGCTGTGCGCAATGGTGGGAGTCGGAGTCCAAAACACCTGGAGGCTCTGTTTCTCCCCCTCCCAAGGCATATCCCGGGTTGGTGGTCCTACTCACCGCGATCTGCAAAGGAGAGGCTCCAAAGTTGAGCATGGCTCCTGCTGCGGAGCGGCTGTGCTGGCGCTGGGCAAGCTGTGCTGGGCGCCGCCTCGCTTTCCCTCTTTTTGTCTCCCATTCAGGTGGCGGGTCCCCGGGCCGAGGCGGGCGGAGAGGCGGCCAATGGGCGGCAAAGGTGTGCGCCCAGCCGGCCAATGGGCGAGCGGGGCCCACGCGTGATCAGCGGGTGCCCGGCAGCGTGGAGACGGAGTCATCTCGGCGTGCGCATCCTCCGGCCTCGCTCAGCCCTTGGGGAAAGTCCCGCGGGAGGCTGAGTCAGGAGGCGCGCCTCTTCCCACCCCCTCCATTCCTTCCTCCCTTCCTTCTTTCCTGCAAAGAGGGGATGGAGAGGGGCATGCTTGGGATCTTTCACTTACCTCCATCTTCCTGAGTGTCAGTACTTGGCCTTCAGGTACCTCCCAACAAAGGATTCCCCCAGGCAACAAGCAACCAGGTTTGAAGCTGCAAGGCCATTCTAAGTCCATACTGCACGACTGCCCCCATCTTCCTGAGTGACAATATTTGGCCTTCAGGTACCTCCCAACAAAGGCCATCCTAAGTCCATACTCCATCTTCCTAGGTGACAATATTTGGCCTCCAGGCACCTCCCAACAAAGGACTCCCCCAGGCAACAAGCAGCCAGGCTTTGAAGCTGCAAGGCCATCTTCAGTCCATACTGCACAACTGCCCCCATCTTCCTGAGTGACAATATTGGGCCTTCAGGCACCTCCCAACAAAAGACTCCCCCAGGCAACAAGCAGCCAGGCTTTGAAGCTGCAAGGCCATCCTAAGTCCATACTCCATCTTCCTGAGTGTCAATACTTGGCCTTCAGGTACCTCCCAACAAAGGACTCCCCCAGGCAACAAGCAGCCAGGCTTTGAAGCTGCAAGGCCATCCTAAGTCCATACTCCATCTTCCTGAGTGTCAATACTTGGCCTTCAGGTACCTCCCAACAAAGGACTCCCCCAGGCAACAAGCAGCCAGGCTTTGAAGCTGCAAGGCCATCCTAAGTCCATACTCCATCTTCCTGAGTGTCAATACTTGGCCTTCAGGTACCTCCCAACAAGAGACTCCCCCAGGCAACAAGCAGCCAGGCTTTGAAGCTGCAAGGCAATCCTAAGTCCATACTCCATCTTCCTGAGTGTCAATACTTGGCCTTCAGGTACCTCCCAACAAAGGACTCCCCCAGGCAACAAGCAGCCAGGCTTTGAAGCTGCAAGGCCATCCTAAGTCCATACTCCATCTTCCTGAGTGACAATACTTGGCCTTCAGCTACCTCCCAACAAAGGACTCCCCCAGGCAACAAGCAGCCAATACTCCATCTTCCTGGGTGACAATATTTGGCCTTCAGGTACCTCCCGACAAAGGACTCCCCCAGGCAACAAGCAGCCAGGCTTTGAAGCTGCAAGGCCGTCCTCAGTCCATACTCCATCTTCCTGAGTGACAATACTTGGCCTTCAGGTACCTCCCAATAAAGGACTCCCCCAGGCAACAAGCAGCCAGGCTTTGAAGCTGCAAGGCCATCCTAAGTCCATACTCCATCTTCCTGAGTGACAATACTTGGCCTTCAGGTACCTCCCGACAAAGGACTCCCCCAGGCAACAAGCAGCCAGGCTTTGAAGCTGCAAGGCCATCCTAAGTCAATACTCCATCTTCCTGAGTGACAATATTTGGCCTTCAGGTACCTCCCAATAAAGGACTCCCCCAGGCAACAAGCAGCCAGGCTTTGAAGCTGCAAGGCCATCCTAAGTCCATACTCCATCTTCCTGAGTGACAATACTTGGCCTTCAGCTACCTCCCAACAAAGGACTCCCCCAGGCAACAAGCAGCCAATACTCCCATCTTCCTGGGTGACAATATTTGGCCTTCAGGTACCTCCCGACAAAGGACTCCCCCAGGCAACAAGCAGCCAGGCTTTGAAGCTGCAAGGCCATCCTAAGTCCATACTCCATCTTCCTGAGTGTCAATACTTGGCCTTCAGGTACCTCCCAACAAAGGACTCCCCCAGGCAACAAGCAGGCAGGCTTTGAAGCTGCAAGGCCATCCTAAGTCCATACTGCACGCCTGCCCCCATCTTCCTGAGTGACAATATTTGGCCTTCAGGTACCTCCCGACAAAGGACTCCCCTGGGTAACAAGCAGCCAGGCTAAGTCCATACTGCACAGATCTCTGTGCGGACATGCTCTCAAGTCCCGGGTTTTTTTGCCCCGCATGGAAAATCAGTGATTTGGTGCTGTCTGGAAGCACCCCTAGTCCAACACTCAAACCAGTACATGGTAGTTTTCAAATTTGTTCCATCCTTCTGTGTTTTTGTGCCTTCTATCACTCTTGCCTCGATGCCTTATTGTAAATTGCAGTCCGAAACTCAGTGATAACTGAAGAATTAAGGACCTCAACACACTAGAGACTGAATCCACGTTAAATCTGGTTTCTGTCCCCTTCAGAATTCTGGGGTTTGTAGTTTAGGGAGGAGCCTTTAACAGCCTCAATAAACTACAAACCCCAGAATTCTGTAGGAGGCAGAAACTGGATTTAAAGTGGATTCATTCTCTAGTGTGATGAAGTAGTAATTGCACACGTAAGTGTAAATATTATGGTCAGCATTGCTACTTCAGCATTTATACAAACTGAAGATCCTCAAATACAGAAGCAATGCAAGGTGTGATCATTTTGCTGTAGCATTATTCCCTCAGGCACAAATTGCACTCACGATATCGCTCTCATGTATGTCCCCTGTCTGAATCTATATAAATTTGGCCACAAGACACCTACCAACACAAGAAGTGACCATCACTCAAAACATTGATTTTGTCACTTGGGAGTTGTAGTTGCTGGGATTTATAGTTAACCTACAATCAAAGAGCATTCTGAACTCCACCAACAATGGAAGTGAACCAAACGTGGCACACAGGGCTCCCATGACCAACAGAAAACACTAGAAGGGTTTGGTGGGCATTGACCTTGAGTTTGGGAGTTGTAGTTCACCTACATCCAGAGAGCACTGTGGACTCAAACAATGATCTGGACCACACTTGGCACGAATACTCCATATGCCCAAATATGAACACAGATGGAGTTTGAGAGAAATAGACCTTGACATTTGGGAGTTGTAGTTACTGGGATTTATAGTTCACCTACAATCAAAGAGCATTCTGAACCCCACCAATGACAGGATTGGAGCAAACTTCCTACACAGAACCACCATGACCAACAGAAAATACTTTAGGCCATCCAGTCCAACTCCCTTCACCAGGGCAAGAAAATGTAATCAAAGCCCTCCTGACAAAGAGCCATCCAGCCATAGATATAGATAGATAGATATGATTCACACACAGAGATATAGTATCATAGATTTGAAAGGGACCCCTAAAGAAGGACAATTATATGTTACCTGTTCCAGAGTAGGCAAACCAGACAATCTCCACATCAACACAGACAAAGAAACAGCAAGAAATATTGTTTACCCACAAAAATAAAGAAATTACATATATTAGAAACCAAGACTTTCTCATTATTTTATTTCCTAGATCACCTGACTGGGCCACAGCAATGCGTGGCAGGGGACGGCTAGTGTAATATAAATGGGTATGCAAGATGAACCTATGCTGAACATGTATGGCATTTAAGTAAAGTGCTCTAGTCAATAAATGGGAATGTTAACTTTGAATAGGAGTGACTTTTTAAGACTCCCATCTCTGCCTAAAACTTGTTGGATGGCCTTGTATCAATCTGTCTCTTACCTGGGAGTCTGGCTTATCCAAGGCCATCTAGATAAGGTTAGTCTAAATAAGAATCTTACCCCTTCTTTCCCACATTTGATCAACCCCTTCGTTACAAGGGCTCTTTATTGACAGACTGCCTTCTGCATAAGGAGTCAATGCTTACTCGTGCCTAGTTTTAATAGACATGTTTTTCTTGTAGCCTTCCAGAGTTTCTAGAGTTAATGAGACACATCCTCTCCATATGATAATTGTACCTAATCACTACATTATAATATATTGGAAATGCAACATTATTAAGTCTGAACAGGGATCATTTGTTACTCTGATCATATTGTGGCTTTTGCTTTTTTGTATATTATGCCAAGATTCCAGAAAGCCACAAGATAAGCCTGAAAGATAAATTAAATTAGTGGGCAGTTCTGAATTAAGGTAAAGGTTTCCCCTTGACATTAAGTCTAGTCATGCCTGATTGGGGGTGGTCATCTTCATATCTAAGCCAAAGAGCTGGCGTTGTCCATAGACACCTCCAAGTTCATGTAGCCAGCATGACTGCATGGAGCGCTGTTATCTTCCTGCAGAAGCGGTACCTATTAATCTACTCACATTTGCATGTCTTCAAACTGCTAGGTTGGCAGAAGCTGGGGCTAACAGTGGGAACTCACTGGTCAGCAAGTTCAGCAGCTCAGCGGTTTAACCCACTGTGCCACCAGGGGCTCCAATAGTTCTCAATTACCATGGAATTCTAAAGTTTATATCCTGAGAAAATGGGGAATGTGTTCAACCTACTAGATGGACTTTGGTGAATTTTAGTCTGCTGAGCTGCTGAACTTGTTGACCGAAGGGTTGCAGCTCAAATCAAGGGAGCGGCATGAGCTCCCACTGTTAGCCCCAGTTTCTGCCAACCTAGCAATTTGAAAACATGGAAATGTGAGTAGATTAATAGGTACCGCTTCTGCAGGAAGATAACAGCGCTCCATGCAGTCATGCTGGCCACATGACCTTGGAGGTGTCTACAGACAACGCTGGCTCTTTGGTTTAGATATGAAGATGAGCACCATCCCCCAGTCAGACATGAGTAGACGTAATGTCAAAGGGAAACCTTTACCTTAATTCAGAACTGCCCACTAATGTAAGGTAACAGCACTCCATGCAGTCATGCCGGCCACATGACCTTGGCTCTTCGGCTTAGAAATGGAAATGAGCACGAACCCCCAGAGTCAGATATGACTGGACTTAATGTCAGGGGAAAATCTTTACCTTTACCCTATGGCCAGTGCATGTGTTTCTTC